CGTAAACGCAGTTACCGGTTGAGCGGGAACTAGCATAACTTTCCCGTTAGCGTTTTTCGCAGCGTACCGACGTTCATCGAAAACCTCGTATTGAACAAGGCAGTGTGAGAGGTTTCAGTTGACGTTAATGTTCGTCAAATTTACGCTAAAAATCTGATCTCGATTTTGCCAACGGGAACTTTACGTTAATTGCCGGCTTGCTGGTGAGCTCGGCGCTGGGCCCGCTTCCGCAAATACCGCGCGGGTTTTGGTAGGTACGTACAGGCCTCCCTAATTGGGGGAAATGGTCCCCATTCCCCCCACTAGACTTATTGACGACAGCTGCCATCGCGCAACGTTTAGGTCTTCCTGCAGCCCGTCTCGTTCGCGACTCATGCGGATGCGATCCTTGGCCAGTGACCGACGCTGAGACTCAATCGCACTCACACGTTGTCCCAACGTAGTTACAGTCTGCTCGGAAGCGTCGAAGTCAGCCTGGAGATCCTTGAGTTCCGAACGCACTTGGGTAACCTCGTCCTGGTAGGCGTCACGCTCTCGACACACTCGAGCCAAGTCCGCGACGGTCGTCTCTTGAAGGTCCTGCAGACGAGTGAGTTCGGGAGTGTCACGCTATTGGACAGCGCGATCCAGATCCTCAAGGGTTGCCATGTGAACGGCTCTGAGGCGGTTCAGCTCGTCGTGAGCTTCGTTGTGCATACGCTGGTGAGCTCGCAGATCTTCTTGAGCCTTCGTGAAGCTGCGCGTAACTTCCACCAGAGACGCACGATCGCGATCCCGATCCCGAGTCAAACCCTGGATCTGCTGAGGATCAATTGGAGGAACTTGGCTTCTGGACTCCAGCTCTTCCTCGACTCGCCGAAGTGCCTCTTGCGCCCGATCCATGCTATGCTCAGCCACATCCCGTTCGTCGTTAGCGTCCTCCAAGTCGCGTTCCTGACTAGCGTTTCTACTTTGGAGCTGCTGGATCTCAACACCGGCTAAGAGACTTCGGAGGCCAGGTGGTCGTTGCTTTCCTGCAGACGGTCGCGTTCGCGCTCAAGCCGTTCAATGTGACGCTGAAGATCACACCTGCTGGGCGACTCGACCTTGGAGCTGAAGAACCCGCGCTACACCAGCCACGGAGGCAGTCCCCTGGCTGCGGTGGACGGCGACTTCTGCTCGTAGGCTGGTCAGCTCCGAGTTCTGCTGCTGTATGTACGCCTGGGCCGCGTCCAGTTCTCGCGTCTGGTGCAGTAGCAACGCTGCCAGCTCTTCTTGGTAACGGATCGCGGCATCACGGGTGGCGACCAGAGCACGGAGTTCCTCACTGTGAGGGTCAAGAGGATCTGGACCGGGTGGATCCGGCGCAGGCTGGTTCGCGTGACGACTGCTCCGCGCCGAAGAAGCGCGGGATGGACTGCTCCCGGGATCGGACATTTCTGCGTCGCTAGAAAAAGGAACAAGCGAGCCAACGTACCCGTAGTGATGCCGTTGTTCGGCAACAACTACGGCCAGGAGGCGGTTGTGGAGAAGTGCGGGTCCCAGAAAATGAGTGACGGCAGGTGATTGGACGATTGATGGATCAGGATCTCGCCACAGATGCGGCAGAATGACCGACTCAGATGGATTCAGAATCAGATGGATCTGGATCTACGCTCGAAGGGATTCAAGATCCAAGATCCAATATGGGCCTGAATCTGCGCGATTAAGACGACTCGACGGGCAAGCAACTGATGCGCAATGGAGGTAAAGAGAGTCCATAGAGTCGGTAGGTACATTGGGAAGATAGGAACCACATGGCGATAGGACTTTAGTATAGGAACGAACTTAAGCGTAAATCAGACCAGAATTGGCCTTGTACAACGCAAGCGCTTCCTCCCTCGCCTGGAAACGGGAACGACATTGGCCCTACACGGCGTAGAGAGGTTAGCGGTAGCAGATCTAGTGTTGGTTGTAAGGCTGGAGTAATAGATTGGCCAGATCCAAGACCTTCCTAGTGAACTACCTGCAAGTGCACATCCAAGATCCACCGGAGTTATCTGTTTGGCCGGTGCGTCCCTCTCGTCTCAACTGTCAACGACACCGTCATTGGAGGCGGCAAACACGACTAAGGAAGACCTGCGAAGGCAACGTAAAGGACAACAACCTCGAAAGGCAACAACCCGGCCGGATCCAGATCCAGGTCGCCAGATCCAAGTACAAGACCATTGGATTTGGAATGCTACCGCGAACAGAGTGAAGATTTCCACGCTGCTCCACCCACATCCCCGCGTCTCGCCCAGACTGTTCTCCCTTCAAGGCTCGGACGCTTCGGAAGACACCAGAGGAGCAAGATCCAGCCATACCGACGGGAACACAAGGTGACCAAGTTCAGAACACATATCACGGATCATCGGGGGACCCCCTCCGTAAGTCGGTGTTCGGGCGCAGTTGGGGAGTTGGATTGGCAATCTCGCAGATTTTGCTGATCCCGCTACACCACAGACTATATGGGCTCTCTTTACCTTCATTGCGTGTCAGCTGCTTGCCTGTCGAGTCATGTCCACAACTTCCTGCTTACACCTGGGTGTAGATCCAGATCCACGCTGGATCTGGATCTTGGATCTGGATCTTGTATCTGGATCCTAGATCTTGGATCTTGGATCTCCGTCGGTGAAGATCCAGATCGACCCGAGTACGGATCCCGATCCATCCGGGTCCGTCTGCGTCGGTCACGCTTCCGCATCTGTGGCGAGGTCCAGATCCATCAATTATCCAATCACTTGTCGTCACTCGTTTCTGAGACTGGTGCTTCTCCACACAGACGTGGAAGTTGGTCCGCCGACCCAAGCACCAGCGTGCAATTTGATGCCGCTGGGTGTTCGCACTGAAGCAAGATGAGACGGGGAGAATCGTTCGTCAGAAGGCTCATCTCCTGGCAAAGGGGTACTCGCAACAGCATGGCGTTGATTACGACGAGACGTACTCGACTGTTTCATCGCTGAATTCGATCCGTGCAAATCTCGCGAAGTTCTGCGAAGATGGTGCGAGTATCGAGTAGTGCGACATCGACACGGCCTTTCTCTACGGTGAGCTCAACAAGGAGATCTACATGGAGTTTCCCGAGGGACCCATGGAGATTCTGGGCGGAACGGACGACGACGACGATTTGTGTGCCTACTGGACAAGTGTCGGTACGGCCTCGAGCAGGCGTCGCGCATGTGGAATGAGACGATTGACCGCCATCTCAAGTCGAAGGGGTTCAAGCCTACTGACGCAGGTTCATGCGTGAACACGCGAGGAGAAGGCGACCAAAAGTGCGTAGTCTGGCTCTATGTTGACGATATGCTGATTGCGTCGCGTGACCAAGATGTGATCACTTCGGTCAAGACTGAGATTGCTGGGAAGTTCAAGATCAAGGACCTCGGACGCGCGCGCTTCATTCTCGGCATCGAGATCCAGTACGACATGGAGCGAGGACTTTGGGCATCTGTCAGCGTGCATACACGGAAGCCTTAATCAAGAAGTTCGGACAAGCGAGCGCAAAGCCGAGCCTGACCCCACTGCACCCAAGCATCCATCTGACGAATAACGACGAACCGCAAAGCGACGAGGAGAAGGCGGTGATGAAGTTGAAGCCGTAGCGTTCGCTCGTCGGGAGTCTGATGTACCTGGCTTGTGGTACGCAACCCGAAATTTCGGTGGTTGTGGCCAAGCTCAGTCGAATCTTGGAGAACCCTGGCGAGAAGCACTGGGATGCTGGCATCAAGGTGGTGAGGTACCTGTTGAAGACCAAGGACATCGGCATCGTGTACGACCGACTACTCGGATCTGGACTCGTCGCGTACTCAGATGCAGACTGGGCTGGCAACCGCGACGATCGACGTTCGGTGAGCAGGATGATGGTGATGATGTGCGGAGCTCCGGTCGTGTGGCGATCGACGTTCCAGAAGACGGTGGCGCTGAGTTCAACTGAGGCCGAGTACATGGCGCTCAGCGAGTGTGTCAGGGAAGTGGTGTGGACGCGACTGCTACTGAAGGACTTGGGCGCGGAACAAGTTGGTGCAACGGTGATCTACGAGGACAATCAAGGTGCCAAGGCACTGGCGAAAAAAGTTGGCTACCAAGCGCGCACCAAGTACATTGACATCCGCTACCATTACATCCGCGAGAAGGTGTCGACTGGTGAGGTGCAGCTCGAATACGTTGAATCCAAGAACCAGCTGGTCGACTTTCTGAGGGAGTCAACGAAGAGTCTTCGCTACCTGCTCGAGCGCAGTAATGTTACCGAAACGCTCGAGTTGACTGCGAATTGAGTGGGGTGTTGAGATTGTACACTACGCAGTCTCTTTGTCACGTTGCATGGGTGCACATGTACATCTTAGGATGGCATGCACAATCGAGGACGGCACGCACATTTGAGGACGACATGCACAAGTGAGGATGACTGTACTATTGAGGACGACACTAATCTAGGACTGGAGAGTAGGAAGATTTGTCTAATTCAAACTTAATCACTTTCGGGTTTCCTTTCAAACCAACAAGCCTCGTTCGCATACTCGCAAAACTTGCCGCCTTTCATATTTATCGACCGCATTAGCTTTCGTAGCCGGCTTTTAGACCTTCTAGTGCCGTTTGTTTGAATAGAATGGAGCTTGGGTGGTTGTCAACATTAGTGAGATGGGTCTCAATACTATCATGCCAAATTATTTTGCTCTCAGTATCACTACCTACATCATGCCCCACATCTCTTACGGTATTATATAAAAAAATAAAAAATGGTGTTACCGAGGTGTATATCGTTATCTGCACGAATTCCATCCATACCCGTTTATCGATTTGAGCAGCCTTTTTAGGACTATTGTACCGGTATGCAACCAAACGACTGCACCAATACCATGCATGCGGTACAGTACGGTGTACCACCCGATGGTACACCCTACGACAGGAATACCCTCACCTAGGAATAAAAGTGGGTTCCCGACACCATGACTACCGAGGGGATTGTCTGTACTAACAAACCATTTTGATGACCTCCTGGCATGTGTCAGTCTTCGAACCATGGAAACACCCATACGGTCCGCAGAGCTGGTTCAGAACGCCTTTCATGCCGTTAGATGGAGAGTGGATCCTCAGCAAGCAGAACTTGGACCAAAATACATGTTTTCTTTAGGTACTTAGGAAAACGCGCTGCGCAACAAGGTCACCGAGGCCGAGGCCAAGCTCGAGCGGGCGACCTTGGCCGCCCAGCGTTTGCGGGTTACCAGCCAGGAGGATGCTTTTGACACCGACCGGCTGATGCGGTTCCTCAACCAAGGTGGGGCTGCCACTCGCGGTCGATGGCCCAGGCTAGTGCGTCTGCTGCGGCACTTCCAACGGGGGTCCACACCTCCTGCGCACTGGGTCACCAACATCACCGTCGATGCTGCCAACCGTCCGTTCAAGATGATCCCGCCCTATCCGGGTCCTGTCGACCCGGACATGGAGGACGATTATGACAACTACCAGGCAGGCGATGGCCACGGCGGCCAGGATGGTGACCATGAAGAGAAGTCGGAGGACAACCCGCCCACTCCTCTCCGCTCGGACTTCCCGCCTGCGGATGCGTCTCCGTCCAAACCCAAGCGGCGTACATCCAGGGGGTCCCATGTTCACGTGGTATGGCCGAGCTTTCCAGCAAGGGTGGGCCGGTGTACGCCCAAATGCGACCCACGGTCCACCCGGGATCTGATGTGCTCCCTCTGTCGCCCCAGACGGACTTCAAGCGCCTGATTTCCGACTGTGCTGCATCCCTGCCGGAGTTTGTCCCTTGGCCGGATGTCCGGCTGGATGTCCAATTCGTCATGCGGATGGACCATGGGTACGAAGAGGCCTTGGACATCCTCCGTCAGGATTGTCCGGCCCACCAGTATTTCCCAAAGCCTTGGTTGCTGGAGATGCTGGTCAAGATGATGTACCATGGCACCCTGGACGACACCCTCTGGACGCGTCATGTCCCCGAGACCTTCTACAAGATGGCTGAGGTCATGCTCCAGGGTCGTCTCCGGTCGGGTATGTATCCGGAGGAGTTTCCGCCACTGCGCAACTTGGTCAAGGAGGCTGCTGCCGAGATAGAGATCGTCGAAGTTGACGGCTCCCGTGAAAGTGACGACTCACGTGACTCCGACTACGAGGACAAGGCCAAGCCATCTCCATCTGGGAAGAGCGTGGATGGGCCATCCAAGGCGAAGTCCATTGACGAGAGCAGCTTGTCGGACAGCGACACCGATGAGGAGCAGCCGTCCAAGCCCAAGCGCAACCCCAAGCGGAACCGCGTTCAGTCATCTTCGGACAACTCCTCTGAGGACGAGCTCCAGTCGTCTTCCTCATCCCAGCGTCGGTCTCCTCGGTTGTCGTCCCAGAAGGAACCCCGGTCTCCCCGGTCGAAGTTCGCGCTGCAGGATAAACCTGATCGACCTTCGTCCAAGAAGAACCCCAAAAAACGCAGCCGGACGTCGCAACCCAAACGGGAGGGTGGCAAGTCGCCCCTGGCACAGAAGTCTTATCGTCGTGGCACTCGTTTCTCTCCGAAGAAAGGTGGCATCGAGGGCCAGACGCCTGGGTTTCCTAACTACGCACCTCAGCAGCCTGAGACCAAGTATCTGGCCAGGCGTTGGCCTGCAGTCGAAGATGAGTATGCGGCCCTGGTCGAGAAGGAACCCTGGCTGGAGATGTTTAACAACCGGGTCAAGGTCCTGTACTTCCACCGCCGGGAACAACTACCCCCAGCTGTAATCCGCATCCTGGACCAACATGTGGGGTACATGAAGGATCGCCTTCCAGCCTTCTGGCACATCCTGCACTGGTTCATGATGAAGACCAAGCCTGAAGACGACGAGAAGTGCGACGACCTCACGATCTACGAACGGGCTCAAGATCTCTACCGCAAGCGTCAGGCGCTCCACGACGGGGTTGCGCGCACCTTCGAGGCCCGCATCAAGCGTCTGATCAAGGCCGGCATGCCGAAAACGATGGTCTGGGAGCCTGGATTCTGGTTGTACCCGTGCAAGATCTGCTGCCTGTACTTGGTCGACGAATCAACCAAGAAGGTCGATGGCACGCGTTACACCCTGGCTGACCAGATCGCGATGGCCGAACTCGAAGACCCCGGCCGGACTCAGTGGACTACCTGTACGGATGACGAGCGTCTGGCGCATGTCCCAGCCAAGATCGTCGACAAGATGCTGCTTCCAGAGCACGAGCGCGTCAACAACTGGGTCTCGACCAAGTTCCAGTGAAGTCATCCTCCCATCCAGCATCCACAACGGTCCTGGATGTAGTTGCATATCCGTAGCGTAACACTTTAATTCCACAATCACCGTTAACGTCTTCGCTGTCTTCATCGTTTCCTTCTTCGGTCAGGTTATCCAGGTCGGTTCAACTTTGAGCGCAGCCTTGTTCATCTCTTGCCGCTTTGGCACCTCCTTCAGGGCGACATAGTCAACTTCATACACTCGTCGTCGAGAACTCCATTCTCGCTCGGGTTGCTCTCCATAATCACAACTCCATCGTCGATCCGCTCCATACAAATTCACAATCAATTTTCCGTAATTCACACATTCACATCCAGGCATTTCGGGTCTCCGTCTGGGAATCTCCAACTGGGATCAATACTCCCAATTGGGGTCGCCCCATTCGGACTTGACCACTCCCAACCATGTCCCTTGATTGAACTCATACAAGAGCGCTCCGCAATTCAGCTGTGCCATCGGTATCCAGTCAGGCTCATCGTACCCCTCCCATTTGATGAGATACTCTCGTGCCCGTTTGGACGTCCGCGTACGCTTGTTCCACCTGAGATCCATGATCTTCTCCACTTCGTACTCGTCATTCTCGTTGTCCGCCTCCCAGCTGTCTTCGGGAAGAAGTGCTGTGTCAAAGTCATCGTTGTCTTCGATCTCCGGTTGGATTATAGGCCGTCTGGGATACAACGCCCGGGGTTTCAGCCGACTGATGTGAACCCAAGGGTTTACACGGTAACCCGTGTCCTTAACCTTGAGCCTCACCCGGAACTCGTCAACCACTTCGGCGATCCTGAATGGACCATGCCACAAGTGGGCCAACTTGCGACTCAGACCCGGTTGCACTTTTGGGATGTACAGCCAGACTGCATCCCCAACGTTGAAACCTGCCTTGAGCCGGTCTGACAACTCGTTCCACTTCCGGGTTTGCTCTTCCGAGCGAGCCCGTTTGGCCTTCCTCTGGAGGCCTTCTGCACATGCCCGAGCGTAGCCGTAGTGCCGCTGGAGTTTCCTTCGCCACTCATACGCGGTCCGTTCGGGGACACTGGAGGGTTTAGGCCCCAGCATAGCTGAGATCGTACTCTTGGCGTCCCAGCTGTGGACCAGGTAGAATTGGGTGTCCAGCCGGGTTGCATCAAACGACGTATTGAGCGCGAACATGAGCCTCTCTGCGTGGTCATCCCAGTCGCTCTGGTCAGCTTCTGCGTTGTAAGCCCGGATGGACCTCACCACAGTCTGGACGGAACGTTCCTGCTGTCCATTCGTCTGGGGTCGGTACCCCAACGTAGCTCGCTATCGGCTACCTAGAAGTTCCCTGAACCGAGTGATTCACTCATGAACCTGGGATTCTGATCATGACGCAATAGGGAGCTGGCTCCGAAGCAGCGGAACACCCTCTCCTCATATGCCTCAGCGACATCCTGAGCGGTGGTAGAACTCATCGGTTTGCACATCACGAAACCCGAAAACGCATCCTGGAACAGGAGCAAGAACGTGTTGCCCCGTTCGGACTTCGGCAAGTGGGTCACGAAGTCCATCGAGACCACTTCGAAAGGATCTCTGGGCTCGATGTCCCCGGGCGAAGGTCCAGGGTTGGGCGGACGCTCCTTGCCGCTGGCACAGTCGGTGCACTCCTTGACGTATCTTTCAACATCTGCGTACATCCCTGGCCAGTAGAACTCCAGCCGGAGTTTCTCGTGCGTCCGGGTTATTCGTTGGTGGCCACCTTGGAAATCCTCATGGGCGTAATGCAGCATGTCCAGACAGAGTACTTCTGGTACGAGTAGGCGCAACTCGTCGGTCTTGTCGCGAGGCTGGTCCCGATTAGACCTGACCAGTCGATAGAGCACATCCCGAACGTTCAACGCAAATAGGTCCGCCCGCTTGGACAGCTTGCGAATCTCCAGCCGGGAGAAGTCATCCAGGTCGCCCTTGAGGAACTTCTTCAGATTCATCAACTCGGGATCAGCGTCCTGGTGCACCTTGATTCGGCGCCACCTCTCAACCTGATACTCAAGCGGGTTCGTAGACTCGCCGTGATTGGAGTCCTCACGGCTCTGGCTACGAGTTATCGCAGCCATGACCCTGGCTGCCATTGGCAGGGGGCTGACTCCGGCCCGGGACCTGCATCGTCGGGCGCCCCAGTCGTAGGTTCCTGACTGGGCTCACCGGGGGAATCGTCGCTCGGGCCCACTTCAGGCTTCATGATCTGTTCGGGGATCCGAGAGACTCGCCCCAGATGTTCCATCTCATCCGGGTCGTCAATCGAACAGGATTCTCCGAGCGCCAGTGTCTTGGACGTCAAGTAGTCTGCAGCCTGATTGTACTCCCGCTTGACATGTACCAGCCGGATCGAGGTGAACGTTTGCTTCATCACCTCGTACTCGGCCAGACGTCGCTGCAGGTTTGGCTGGTTGCAGTTAATCAGTCCCTGAGCCTGTTGGATGACGATCCGAGAGTCTCCGACGACAACCACATCCGGGATACCCCGATCGTAGATCATCTTCAACCCATTCAGGAGGCCGAGTTACTCAGCGTCATTCACCGTAACATCATCCAGGATGAAACCCCACGCGGCCAGGACTTTCCAGTCGGGGAGCTCCCAGATGGTATATCCACAACTTCCTCGCCTCGTCGATGTCTTCGCAGCTCCGTCGAAACTCAGGACGTATCCAGCGAAATTAGCCTCCAGCATCTCCACACTGATCACCGGTGGGGGTTTCACCTGACCCTTGGCTGGGATGAGTGACTCGGCAACTTCGTCCAGGTGCTCACGCGGCGTTATGCCAGCGCCCAGTATCGCGGCCAGGCCGTCTTCGTCTCGCTTCACCTTCTGCACGTCCAAGTCCCAATGGGATAGTGTTAACCCCCACCGGACGTGTCGGCCATCGGCGGTCTTGGACTTCAACAGCCAGGACAGTACTGAGTACCTGGTGTACACCTTGATCGGGCAGCCCTGGACGAGAGTGTTAAACATATCCAGGACCCGCATGACAGCAACCGCCTCCTTCTCGGCGATGTGGTATCGAATCTCCGCGTCGTTCAGCACGCGTCCCGTGAACCTCACAGGCTGGATCACCTCATCATACTCCTGGCCGAGGACCGCACAGGCGGCCCAGCGATTCACATGTGGGATAATCACGAACGGCTTGGCCCGGTCGGGGTGTCGCAACAGGGGTGTCGACACAATCTTCCGTTTAAGGATCTCGAATGCCTCCTTTGCCCTTGACAGATCCCGGTCGGTCTTCGCTTGATCATCCGTAAGCTCATACAGGACTGCGGCCACAACCGGGAAATCCTCAATGAACTTGTGATAGTAGTTGAGGCTTCCGAGGAATGATTGGACTCCCTTCAGGGTGGACGGGAACGGTAAATCCTGAACGCCCTTCGCGATCTTCGGAGTCGCGCGCAGTCCTTCGGCACTGATCTCGTGGGAGAGATACGACATACTCAACTTCCCGAACTCACTCTTGGGCAGGCTGACAGAGATGTTCCAATAGCGCAACCGGGATAGCAGCGCATTCAGGTCCTCACACAACTGATCCCAGGTGGGCGCCCCATGCGCAATGTCATCGATGTAGGAACTCCGTCCGAGGACAGGTCCCAGCTGGGACGGCATCGGGATGTTGCGTTGGACCACAGTCATCTGCTCCACCAGGACGGGAACACTAGCTCCAGCCTTCTCCCGTTCGGATTCATCCCGAACGGACGGGTCCAAACCGAGGAACTCGAGTACATCCAGGTCCACCTGCTCTTCCCCTTCCCGAGGGAGACGCCCGAAACGCCAAAGGCAGTTGTTGATCACCGCCTGATACACAAGTGGAGCATTCTTGAGTCCAAATGGCATGCGTACCCACTGGAAGTATCCGAATGGTCAGATGAACGCGGAGATTAGCTTCACACGTTCCGTCATCCGGACCGCCCAGAACCCGCTCGCCATGTCCAGACTCATGAACCACATAGCGGTTCGAATCCAATCAGGAGATCATCGATCAGGGGCAACGGGTAGCTAGAAAGCCGGATGAACCCATTAACCACCCGGTAGTCGATGCACATTCGAATGTCCACGCCATTCTTCTTGAGGACGATTACAATCGGGGCAGCCCACGGCGACAGCGATATCTTGATCAGACCCGTTTCCAGCGGCTTCTTCAGGAGCTTGTACACCTTCATCATCAAGTGAGGGGCAATGGACCTTGGTCGTTGAGCAACGGGTTTTGCGTCACCCACATCCAGGTCACACGCCACGCCCCTGGCCGGGGCCGGCGCAGCATTGCCATCCCCAAGGAAAATCTTGCGGTGATACTTGAGTATAGAGCGCAACGTTTGTTTTCCATCCGGGGTAGTCCGTCCGGGCTCTCCAACATCCGCCTTGTCGATATCACACTCGGGGCTCAGGTCCTTCAGCTCAGGAAGCAAGGCCAATTCATCACGCAACTGGGGCAACAACTCGCTCCCCTCGTGCAGATACACTCCAGCTTCCAGGTCGAGCTCCTCCTGATTGATTCGCATGCATCGATTGTACTCTTCCTCTAGCTTCCGCAGCGGGGTACTAGGCATCGACGCAGTGGGTATATCAGGTTCTTCCCGGTCGGAGATGTCTTCCGAGCGGTCACCATCCAGGACGGACTCGGCCAAATCAGAGACGCTCAGGCTCCACTCATCAGAACTCGGAACAGACTCAGCTGCAGTGCCGACATCGCTGTGAGCGTCCTCGACAGTCGGACGTCGACCGGATTCCGCTTCGTTATCATCTCCATCCGATACTCCCTCGACGGATCCCGCCTGGGACTCAGCGTTACCCTGCTGGAGCATCACCAGCCAGTCCGTCCGGGACCCCGACTCGGGCCGTAGGAGAATCCTGGTCGGCCATTCCCGGTGCGGTCTTTCTATAGCTGGGGGCTGCCGACTCCACTCGAGCTCGATCTGCTCCTGCTCAGGCGCCTCTGCTTCCGGAGACACTGTGTTCTCGTAGATCAGCTGTTGCCACTCCTGATACCGTTTGCTTCCCGGGCGGACAAATCTCCCAAACCGGGGAAAGTACCCGAACTCGACGATCCGGGCCACAGGAGTTCGGTTGCCAATCCACACTCTCTGCTTGGAGATGTTCACCACCTTCACCGAAGACGCCCACGACTTGGTAGCATACAGCATCTTGGTGACCCAACGATCACCCCGGCCGGCCCACACAACATCCCGTTGGGGGATGCTCTGGCCGTACCTAACCTTCACGATCGCATGTTCCCCCGGACGGAGATTGATCCCCTCATCCGGGGTTACCGGGAGATCCAAGCCCATTTTGTCACGGCGCGGACCATCACACATCACAATAGTTTCTTCGTCCGGGAGCTGTACTAGTATTTCTTGCACGCTCAACCGCACTCCAGCCGCATACATGAAGTTCATCCCCAGAAGGACTTCCAATCCTTCGCCGATATTCGCCAACCAGACACTCATCACATACACCACGCGGAATCCCAGAGTGATCTTCACCCGGGTGTACGACGTAATGTTGGTGGGAGCACCTCCTAATCCGGACACCCTGATCGGCTCCGGCAATGTCCGGAATTTCAGCTTGAGCCTACGCGCATGGTCCAAGCTAATCATGCTTCCAGATGCACCAGTATCCAAGAGTATCCTCGTTCGGAGATCGTTCACCGCCCCATGCACTGTCGCCACTGCATGACTCTCTTCCGGCTCGTGATCCTCCCACCAACCGTATCTCTGTCCGGGCTGTAGGATGACTTCGACTTGAACATCGCCATCCGGGTTTTCCCGTCCAGGATTCGTACAGTTGGGGTCGTCAAGCTGGTTCTGAAATATAGCTGACATGCATTGGTGGTTATCTGGTTTTCTCCTTCTCAACTCGGGTCCGACATTAACTAAGACACACAATCCTTTGGGTTTCGCCAGCCCGGCGCGTTCTGGATCCCCATCCAGCGGGCTTACTAGTTTAACGGCGACCCCGGATTAGCCTCTTCACCCAGCAGTTGCTTGCGCAGGGGTGGAGGCAGGTCTTGCAACATCCCTTTCCGAGCGAGTTTCTTCACGGCTTCCAAGGCGTCGTAATCTCCACAGGTTCCTTCATGAATCTTGCCACAGCGTAAGCACGGCTTCACTCGACACGCGTATCCCGGATGGCCCTTCCGGTTGCACCGGTCGCAGACGATCTCCGTCCAGCAATTCTGCTCTTTGTGGCCAAACTTGAGGCACTTCTCGCAAAACTCGTTCCGGTCAGGGTTTTCCCGTCGGGGCGACTGCCATCCGGGCCGAGGTGATTGCCATCCCGGCCGGGGCGACTGCCACCCTGGATGGGAGTCGCCCTGCGTAGGCGGGCGCCACCCACTCTGCTCGATCGCCTTGAAGATAGCCTGACGGAGTTCAGGCTCCGGGATCTGAGCAACGGTTGGGGCACTTGGCGCCACCTCAGCCGGGGCACGCCGGCTGGGCTCCTTCGACTCCGCTTGGGGCAGCTTGGCTTCCTCGACTTCATCCTCGAAACGTACACGACCTTCAGATTCGTAGCCGGACTCCCCGTCCGAAGTTGCCACAAACGCGCGGCGCCTCGGCTTAAAACGGGAATCCTGGATGTTGCCCGCTCGGTAGTCCCGCCTGGGCGGTGGCGTATCATAACCCCCATCTAGGTTCAGGTCCTCCTGTTGCTCCAGGATGTCTTCGAGGTCGTCCAGGCTGCGAATCTTCTGGTTAGCCAGGATGGCCTTCAGCTGGGAGTCCCGGAGATTCTTCAGGAAACGCTTGACATGTTGCTTGCGCTCCTTCTTGGACTTCCGGTACTTGATCCCCGCCTTGACCGCAGCCTCGCTCAGCCTGTAGAAGAACTCCATCGGGGTCTCAGACGTCTTCTGTCGCATGGTATAATACCGTTCAGACTCCGACGTCCGGAGCTTCAGGTACTTGCGACGGAACTCCTGGACGAAGCGCTTCCGATTGCTCTGGACGTGCTTCTCCAGTTGGCCGCGCCAATTCCGGGCGGCAGGTGACAACTTCATCTTGAGCTCTCGAACCTTGGTCTGGTCGGACCAACCAGCCTGGACGGAGATGTTGGTGAACTTCTCCCACCAGGTACGTCGATCTCCAAGCGGGGCTTTCTCGTCGAACTGACCCAGCGTGTTGGAATTGACATACGGGCGGAACGTCCAGGAGGTCTTGCCATCCCCAACCGTAGTTGACTCCACGGTCGGTGTAGCGGCCTCGTCGTCCAGGCTGTCGTCCGAGCTGGAGCTATCATCATCCGAGCTCGAGGAACTGGAGCTTGAATCCGGGGACGAGTCGCGATCCCGGCGACGCCCCTTGCGTGGCGCCTTCTTGCGCTCGTCCTTCCTGCGTTCGTCCTTCCTGGGCGGTTCCTGCTTTGGCTCCTTTGGCTCCTTCTTCACCGCCGTCTTGGTCCCCGGACGGGAGGTCCCCGTCGGGGCAACATGCGCCGCCGTCGTATATCGGTGTGCCGCATTAACTGCGGCCGGCTCATTCTTCACCACGGTCGGCTTCAGAGTCCTTGCTAGACGCGCGACGTCGACTTCGGCAGTGTCGCCAGTAGCTGCTCCCAGCCGGCTTCGGTCGTGTTCTTCTGTCCCGGCTGTGCACTCGCGACCGTTGCTTTTCCGTGATTACGCCCGTTGCCCGTTCAGGGTTGTCACTTCCCGTTTGTATGGGAGTTGCCCGATTAGGGTCGGATGTTCCCCGTTCAGGTTGAGCTTGGGCAGATGTTGCTTGAAGGTCGCGTATCTGCCCCACATGGAAACGCTGGATATTCTGAGCAGACTCACGTTCCTGCGCACGCGCGACTTCCGACGCCTGCAGCCTGGCTGCCAACGCGGCCAGGTCCTGCTGGGCCTGCCCGGCCCGGGCGGCCATCTCGGCGGCGTGCCTCGCGTCGGCTTCAGCCAGCTGCCGGCGGATGTATTCCGCGGCGGCTGCCTCCACACGATCACGCTCGGCCCGCGCGGCCTCAAGACGAGCAGCTTCGACATCGGCCTCGGCCGTCAGGGACAGCGAGGCGGCCTGGGACGCCTGGGCGAAGACCTCATGCAGGTGTCGCTCAAGCTCCTGGGCCCGGCGCTCGGCTTCGCGCGCCTCCCGTTGGGCTTCGGCCAGAGCAAGCTCGGCTTCGGCATCCCGGCTGGGATCCTTCCCGGTCGACACAGCTTCGCGAAGCTTCGACAGCTCGGCACCAAGCTGCTGGACCTGGTGAAAGGTCGACACCGCCATCTCCGCCATCCCCGACTGGGCCGACAGGCTTGTCCGTCAGGACCGGGTGGACCGGTACGAGCGCCGGGATCGACTCGAGCGCCTGGATCGGGATCGGTCTCGTGATGACCTCCGGGTGGAACGTCGGCGGCGACGCCGAGCATCTCCATCCGAGTCCGAGCCACTCGACAGCGAGTCATGCCTTGAGCGTCGGTGCGTCCGGGACCTCGTCGACGTCCGCGTCCTGGATGTTGCCCGGCTGGCCACCTCGTCCAAGCGCGCCATGTTGACATCAGCCTGGTCGGGGGTCAACTCTCGCTTGGGGACCTCCTCGCGCGTCACGTAGAAGCCCACGTCTCCGGCACCGACCGACACGCCAACCAGGACCCCGGGCGGACACCGCCACAGGCCCTAGCTGGGGCATCGGCATGTGCGACGCAGCGCTGTACTCGAGCGTCGAGGTCGACGAGTCCGAGGTGGTGTTCCTGGACACATACGACTCGGACGTCGCACCGTAGGAAGCCCGGTCGGAGGTGCCAACTATGCTCGGGACAGGGTCCGAAGTTGCACCTCTGGCCGGGGCATCCCGGGCGGACTCCTCAGCCGACGGGAACTCGGACGGCAGCGACTCGGACTGGGACGGCGGGGACGCAAGCGAGCTCTCAGCCCTCGGCGGCGCATGCTGCTGACGCTTGGGCGCAGGCTCACCGGTGGACGACCCGCTCGGACTCCGGATGGGACGAAGACCAGTCAAGCGTAGGTGTAGGACATAGGTCCGACCCAGCAAGAGTTCGTAGTCGTTCATCAATAGATCTCCATCCGCGTCTTCCGCGTGATAATCCATTATCGGCGGCTTCTCTGTCTTCGCTTGGGTCTCCAACACTGGCAGGATCTTGAACGTCGCTCCGACGACCAGCTCGCGCCACTCGATGAGCTCGACCGCAAGCAGTCGCTGGACGTCTCCGACCAGGGTCCGGATGGACATCGGCTCCACCTTGGACACTCGCATCTCCACCCAGGCCGGCACCACGTTGACGAACTGGAAACCAGCCTCGAGCAGGAGCGTCTGTAGGACCGCAACGCACTCCCGCGAGTCCAGCAACCCGGTTGGGATCTGGACTCCGGCCAAGGTCCTGGGCAGTCGACAAGTCCCGACGGCTGGGTGCCAGGTCGGCCAACCAAACCTCGGCCGGGTCCTGCGAAGCCACCTTGGACGCCAGGTACTTGGACGTCGCAAGCGTCGCGGTCAGTCACAGCACGGAGTCCGGAAGGGGTCTTCGGCCAGGCATACGCCACGTTCGGCGGAAGCGTGAGCCCAGACCGGGCTCTCTCCCACCGGGACGCCTGCAACGCCGCGTACGTCTTCGCCGCTTGGACACTTGGGTGCTCGGCCGGCAACTCCGTCGGCGGGTTACCCCGGCTGGGTCTCCGGTTGGGCATCAGCGGCCGGGGTCACCGCCTTCACAGGAACTGCGGCCGGCTTCTCCTCCTCGGCAGACGGCGTCGGCTTGGGTTCGGCGGACACTTGCGCGTCCGGCTGCATATCTTGGCCAGGCAGAGAGGACTCCGAAACTCGACCCTCCGCCTGGGGCTCATCCACGTCGGCGCCTCCCTCAGACGCCTGGTTGGGTTCACCCTGGCCGGGATCCCCCTTAGCGGTCTTCGACTCCTCGTCCGCGTCAGCACGTTCGGGCTCGCCGTCCTTCGACACTTGGTGCGCGTCATCTGGGACGGCCGGCTCGGGTGCCGGCTGGACTTGGTTCGAAGACCCATCTCCGGCCAGGGCCGCCTTCCGCTTTTCAGTGTTAACCCTCCGAGCATTGCGTTGAACCTCTTCCAGGCTCGGTTGCTCCTCGGGCGGCAGCCCCGCCGTACGACGCGATTGACGCGACGCCTCTCCGCGTCCTCGTCCTCCGCGCCCTCCTTCGCGCATGTCTCCTTCCTTAGCTGTCATAGACGCTAGTTAGGAAAGTTAGCACACCTCACACCTATAAACTTACAAAATATAAACAACTCCGGTGAAATCCCTGGTTCCAATCCGGGCACACAGGCGAGGCGGGTGAACGCCTGACCGCCCAGGTGTATAGCTTGGCGCGTCCCGGGTGTAGACTCCCGAATGGGGTGCACCCAGAACAAACCCTAGCCGAAGATAGTACACCTAGATGTACACTCCAACCGGGGTGGCGTGTGTCCTTGTGAACAATCCCTGTGGGTTCGTTTGTCTTCGTAACCAGGGGTCTTCAACCGTGGATGAGTTGTCTTGATACTTGTAGGTCGCTGGGTAGCAGGGCAGGACGTAACCTTCCTGGACGTCGCCTCTGACAGCCCTCAGATAACCAAGCAATACAAACAGATACTGAGTTATATACAAACACGTAGCCCTTCCTTATTCTCTTGGACCATGAAAGGGTCGGTCACTACTCCAGTCAACTCCAGCCGGACTCCGGGATACTGGTCAATCCCGGTCGGCTTTGGCTCACGCGTACCACCCTCAATTACTGAGGGAGACTAACACAATCAAATACCTCCTATCACACAATAGCTCTTAAATCAATACTTCCCACCCGGGGCTACTCCAACCGGGGTGACAAGGTAATCTGTAATATGAAATGCGGGGCCTTCCTGGTCTGGACGAGCTCAACCGCAACTAGGAAATGAAATGGGATGGATCAACCTCGGGCTGTCGCCCGGTACTCACCCCAAC